ATTCAGTTCAAAACAAACTGGAGGAAAACTTTAAAAAAAACAGTCAGTGAAAATATCAGGGCAGACAGGAATTGGGGTCTGAGCGCTCCAACTAGTTATTTTAAACTGAATGTGCATAACACAATACCACAGGGCGTGTCTTCCTCTCCCCCTGATCAACTTTAGTGCCTGCAAAGCTGCCCCAGTTGATTAGACGACTCCAAAATTAGGTTAAAAAATATAAAAGATGTTTTCTTGCCTAGACTTAACGTTCTGTTAAGATGCAATAGGAAGTACACGTTTTGGAATTGTCACAGTCACTGAAATTGAAATTTACACAATGAAACTAAGTCTCAGTCACGCGCACACACACACACACACACAAAGAAAAAATAAAATTAGGGAACTTGGTTTTTATATTTAAAGCTCTGTGCATCTGTGCATGTAAGTATGTGTGCGGAGGAGAAAGGGAAAGTTATCAAAATATGATCTCAATCTTTTCTAACTGAGGTGAAAACCTACCATGAAAACATACTATATATACACAGGCAGGAGAGTCATAACCATAGCAATAGGCTGCAGATTTATTAACGCTGTGGGCAACCAATGTCATTTAAAAATAAAATTAAAAAAGTCCAGGGATGGACATTGTGAATTTGGCACAAGACAGTCCAGTTGGAGTTCCACGAAAGGGTCTTGGGTTATTTACAGTGGTGATGGATTCCAGAGAATTACTCAGAGCTGGCTGTAGACTAACAATTCAAGAAGCGTGGGGCATGAGGCCCAATCATCAAACTACAGCTTCCCCGCCCTTCACCGGCTGACTGTGACTTCTGCCAATGCACAGCTGCCACACTGCAGCTCTTCCCGGCTTCTTCCTTGTGGTTCAGCCTATACATCACTTCTTCTCCTGCCGGCTCTTCAGTGAGACACATTCAGAAAGAACCCGGACAGGATTTTTGGCACGATTCAAGGTACTTTGTAGGAGTTGCTCACACTGCTATGGACAGTGCATCTCTCACCAGAACACAAAAGGACACAGCAGCCACCCCATCATGCTCCTCCAGGCAGGGAGGAATCCCCGACCATTTTGTGCACGGCAAGGTCCACTCTGCCAATGTGTGACAAATGGGTCTGAAAAAACGGGGCATTTCCGACTCCCTACAGATAATTTGAGGTGACAAAGGGGTGGTCCCCCCGGACACGGCTCATGTGGATCATTGCTCGGTCGTACGCCACCTGGACGGATTTGCGGATGCTGGTTTTACGGCCCTCCATCATCTTTAGTTTGTCCACTGTGTCGTCCACCCCCAGGGGAAGAACTTTGTCCCGAGGAAGCCACTGCCTGCAACCCAAGCGGAATACAAAAATCCCGGTGACAGAGAGAAATGGAGACAGGGCAGATGGGAAATAAAGGCCAACACCCCAGGGCCATCAAGACTTCCAGCCCTTTCAAGACCAAGGGCTAAAATCGTCCTAACTTTGCAGCGGACTAAATTCTCCAGCCAATCTGACCTGACTGCATTGAGGTTACTGGGGACAGAATCTGACAAGACACCCCCTGCCCCTGGCACCCAATCCTAAATTCGTTCTGTTCAGCAGCTGCAGTCACTCTGTAACGAGCTCCTGACACTCTCAAACAATGTGAGATTTTGAAGTGCCCTGATTTTAACAAAACCTTCCAAACCCCTCTGTAACCCAGCCATCAGTCTGTTCAGTTCTCACCCAACCCACTGTCCGGAAACAGGAGGGGAAGATGCTTTGGTGCCGGCCACTCAGAATCAGGACCCTGGGCTAGCTGGACCACTGGTGTGACCCCGTATGGCTTGACTTACATAACCCCATTCAATCCGCCCCTCTCCTCTAGGAAAGGTGAAAAATGCAGAGTGTTGCAAAGAGCAGTAAACACCTCCTCTGGTGCACCAACGTGGAAAATGAGCCCCGGATCTACAGACCCGTCAGTGTGAAAGCCCTGCTCTGTACCAGGAAGGTACCAGTCCAACGTTCTGGATACCCCCCTCTGCTCAGGCATCACCCTGGTGTGCTCTGGCAGACAGGATCCAAACCCAGTTGCTCCCCTTAGAGTTGACCCGTACCATCTTATCATGGAGCCCTGCAAATCCACGAATATCCGCGGGTATCTGCATATCACAGCTTGTTTTTGTGGACATGGATGTGGATACAAATTTTTCATCTAGAACCCTGCACAATCTATCCCAGTAATTACTGCGGAAGAGGGGCAGTGGAGGAGGGTGGAGAGCCAGTGCTGACAGCTCCATGCAGCTCCCCACTGGGACCCCTACTACACCCTAGGCTCAGTTTCCTGAGCAGGGAGCCTCCAGGCAGCTGCCCGGCTGGGAGTGGAGAAGCGGGGGCAGTCGGGCTCCAGCTGCCCAACTTTCTCATCCATTTCTCAGCTCCAGCATGGCTCCATGAAACTAACAAGACAGTCTCTAGCTGATGAAAGTAACACGGGCTACATCTAGATTGCATCTCTTTTTCGGAAAAGGGATGCAAATTAGACGTATCGCAATTGCTAATGAAGCGGGGATTTAAATCTCCCCCGCTTTTTTAAGAGGGATAAGGGATCTTTTGGAAAAGGCTTTATTTTCCGAAAGATCAGCGTCTATACTGGTGCTTTTTTTCGGCAAAGCTCCGTGCTGAAAAAAAGCGTCAGCCATTTTTATGCTAATGAAGTGGGGGAGATTTAAATCCCCGCTTGATTAGCAATTGCGATACGTCTAATTTGCATCCCTTTTCCGAAAAAGAGATGCAATCTAGACGTAGCCACGGTGTTTACACAGGGACAATGTCACCCTAGCTACACCCACGTCTCGTGGAGGAGGAGTTATGAGGTCAGCGAAGTAGGGCATGACACTGGCAGGACAAGACTGTAGTGTGGACACTGACACAATGAAGCCAACGTAAAGTGCCTTATGTGAACCTGTGTCATGCAGACCAGGCCTGAGGGAGTTAGGAGCTCACTGAAATGGGATGTGGATGCCTAATTCCTTTAGGCTCTTTTGAAAATCCCAGACTCATTCCATTTTGTAATGTCAAGGGGAGGGAGGGAGGGAGAGACACGAAGGAAGGAAGGAATCCTATTCCTTCTCTCGTCTGGGTTTCCTGGTGCACTTGTCTCCTGCATGTCTCCTTTGTCCAGAGCTCTCCGAAGTAGGGTTCTAAAGAGCACATGGACATAAGCTGCCATGTGACTGTTACTTTCACTGTCAGCCCTCTTTTACTTGAGCGAGCTCCTGATCCCTAATGTAGCTCCTTGAAAGTGTGGCTATCGGCACCATTTAGGGACTCACCTCTCCCCCAGTATGTCTTCCCTGTTGTTGTAGCTGTGTCAGGCCCGAGATATGAGAGAGACAAGGTGGGTGAGGTAATATCTCAAAAACTTCTCTCTTTTGCCAACAGGTACTGGCGCACTAAAAGACATTTGCTCGCCCCTCACCTTCTCCCTGGTACGTCACTCCAATGTGTTAATCTTTACATTGCTTCACATATGGATTTTGAGGCTTGAATTTCCTAATTGTCAAAGCACTCCATTGGCTTGGGGCTTGTTATATCTCTTCAATCTTTTCCTACCTAATAAACCTGGCTATCCACTCAGGCCAAGATCGGCAGGGTATTTAGTCTGTCTGAGATCAAATGACAAGGTCCTTGACAGCTAGGCACAAGATTTTCCCTTGGATGCCTTATGACAGATGGCTAAAATAGCCTGATATGGAAACTGTAGTAGGCACTCAGCACCTCTGAAAAATGAGGCTGCTTGTTTAGGTGTCTAAATATGGAATGAGCCTAATGTTTTGAAAATGCTGACCTAGACATTTTGGCAAGACTTCTCTACAACTGGCTGCATACTCTGCCTTAGCTTTCAAAACAAAAGGAACGTATTACTGGCTGCTGATCTTGACTGTAAAATTAGCTCTTGACACAATTCAGCTTCTTGTAAAAGCATATTGTGAGTGTGCAGTAAGGTCACTGTGCAAATTACAGAATCATCAAATACTAGAACTGAAAGGTACCTTGAAAGGTCATCGAGTCCTGTCTCCTGCACTTATGGCAGGACTAAGCACCATCTAGACCAGGCTTGGGCAAAATACGGCCCACGGGCCAGATCCAGCCCATCAAGTCACCAGATTCGGCCCACCGACGCAGCAGGGAAACCCAGGCAGGCTCCCTACTTGCCTTCCCTTACCACACACCACTCAGAAAAAAGGATGCTGGGCTGTTTCTCTTTCAAAACTGTGAGTCCAGAGGGGAGGGGGGGAAAGGCTTCAGGTGCTGCTCCCACCCCCAGCACAATCCCATTGGTCAGTTTCTGGCCAGAAACTGGCCAATGGGAGCTGCCAGTTTGAATAACAGGCAGCCACGAAGCACCACATTCCGTCGTACATCACACACGTCCACGTCACACATGCTTATGGCCCTGCAGCCTGTGTGAGGGTGGGGCAAGCAGGCAGGCAGGCTGGCTGGCTGAGAAACATGCTGGGCTGCTAGCCAGGAGTCACCCAGAGAAGTCTCCTGGCCAGAGCCTGACTCTGGCACCCAGTCCCTCCCTTCCCCAACCCTCTTCCCTCCACTCCTGCCCCCTACCCCACATAACCCCAAACCCTCTGCCCTCCTCCTTGCACCCATATCAACTCCCATATCCAGTACTGCAGTCCCCTGTCCCAGATCACAATCCCTCCTGCCCTAGCTCACAACCCAAACCCCTGCATCCCAGTCAAGTGCCCCCGATCACAACTGCCTCCTTCACCCAAACTCCCTCCCAGACCTCATAGGCCCTCCTGCACCCCAATCCCTTACCCCAAATTCCCTTCTGCACCCAACGTCCATCCCAGACCCTGCACTTCCTCCATTAATATCATGGAAGAGTGCAGCCACTTACCAAAATCTTGGAGTGACCCCCCCCCAAAATTGTTGCCCACCCCTGATCTAGATCATCCCTAACATATATTTGTCTAACCTGCTCTTAGATATCTCCAATGATGGAGATTCTTCAGCCTCAATAAGCAATTTATTCCACTCCTTAACCACAGTGACAGTTAGGAAGTTTTTCCTCATGTCCAACCTAAACCTCCCTTGCTGCAGTTTAAGCCCATTGCTTCTTGTCCTATCCTCAGACGATAAGGAGAACAATTTATCTCCCTTCTCCTTGTATAATTTTAGGTGCTTGAAAGTTGTTATGTCTCCTCTCAGTCTTCTCTTTTCTAAACTAAACCAAACCAGTTCTTTCAATCTTTTCTCAAAGGCCAAATGCCTCTTCCAGTTGTTGATCATGTAGGCAGGAGACCCAACTGACATGCATTTGGGTAAGGATACAGTGCACAAGCCCCGTCAATGAAATTTTTTTGACTGCTTTGTCTTTAAAAATTCTCCACCGTCTGTCGGCCTTAATGACGACCAGCCTTTTATGTCCCCTTGTCCCAAGATGCTGTTAATTCTTCCTTCTGGGCAGCCCACCCCACAATGCTTGTTTGCTCACCAGGTTCTCTTGTTGTCAAAGAACAGGACAAGGTAGAGCTTTTCTCCTGCCTCTGTCTGTTTCTGCTCCCCCAACTTCAGCACATCCAGGGGAGGGACGGGGATGGGAACTCCGTTGTGAAGGAGGCCTTCACGCGGCATCTTGGGGTCAATTATCTGGGGAGACAGATGAGGTGCACAGATCAGTACTCTGAAAGCCCCGCCACATGAAGCCTCCTGCAATTCAGCCTATGAGCACAGTTCTGCTTTACGCCACCTGAGTGAAAAGGTATGGTGGGGCGGACGGGGGGACCTGCAGGGACCAGGAGGGAGGAAGAGGATGGGCGTGCATGCAGAAGAGTTCAGCCTTTTGATAGGAGAAGTGGGATTTCCCAGTGCAAAAGATGTTTGTGCCGATAGGAGGGCTCCCAATCTGCTCTGCACCAGAGATTAAGCCGAATGAAATGTAGTCTGAAGCCAATGAGTTTACATGGGACAGAATTGGGTAATGGAAGCCATGAACTTTGGAAGTATGAACTTACAGCTAGGCGGGCACAATACTGTATTTTAATATAGACTTTTTTGGTAGTCAATAACGTAGTATAAATCCAGTCTTTTATTATTTAAAGAAGGCTTCCTGCTTACACCAGGCAGCAAACGTAGCGCAATTAAAGATGTTAAAATGCGGTTAACTGACTAGTCGACCACTGGGGCTCTTGTACATTTCAAAGAAGGAATGTGGAACTCCGCGTACAGCCGAGGGCCAGCGGGTGCCTGCTTTGAAATGCACAAGAGTCCCCAGTGGGACACATCACAGCCCTGCTTGGCCCCAGACTAACAACATTTTATAAAGGTGCAGCTGCCGTGTAGAGCCCGGGATCAGCTGCGGAGTCCCTAGCTGACCCCGGGCTCCATTGCTATCCCTTTGAAATGCTGCCTTGGAGTACTCCTTCCCTCCCCCCTAGGGCGGGGGGGGGGGGGGAGGGAATTGACTAGTCAAAAGACTAGTCGACTAATCTTTAACATCCCTAAACACAGTTATTACATCCAATAGGCATACGTTCATCTCATGCCAGTTTCATCCAGCTGGAACTCCACTGTGTTCATGGGAGTAACTTCTGAATTTACACTGGTACTAAATGAGAATCAGGTATACTAGTTCAGAAGCGTTGACAGGCAATGTCAGAGCTGGGAGGGCTCTGAACAAAAATAAAGTCCTTTAGAGCTGATGGCGTAGCAGACGTTTCAATTCTCTCTGTGTAAAGCAGAAATGCCAATGTGTCCAACATCTGCATTAAGTCAGTAGGGGAAGATGAAGCCAGATATGAAACCAGGTTCTGTCAGCTGTGCCTTCTGACCTGGGCGCGGAGGCGCATCTTACTGGCTTGGATGAGCAGCTGGGCTCAGACACGGGCCAATAGCATGAATTTGATAACACATTCTTTCTCAGCACGTCAGATTGCATCCAGTTTCAAACAGGAAATAGGCTCTAGCTATACTGATATAACAGTTAAAAATCAAGTTTTGACACAGTTTAAACTCTGCTTGTGGCCAAACAAGGCTCTAAAATCCCTTAGTTGGCCAATAGGGGATGGCATAGAAGGCTTGTTCTCCTCCTTAGGCTCCTGTCTGGGCTAACAAGGATTATGAACATCGTTCTAGAATAGTTTGGGCCTGTCTAGTGGTGGAATTCTGCCTGGCCAAGTTGCAGCATGGTGTTAAACCGCTATTGTGACATCAGTGTAAATGGCGCCTTTGTCATTTCTACGCCTTTGTGTGCAATAGCTTTTAGTTCCTACGGTTTTCAGAGGGTTACCAGCGACCATCAGCTTTTTGTCTATCCCAGCACTCCCAACAATGCAGATGCATGAGTGGCAGTCACACTGGGAAATTACACAGGTCAGGGGAGCAAAAAGAACAGCTTCTTGAGAGAGGCCTTTGTTATATGTAGCAGAAACTGTGAAGAGCAGAATCATGCTTATTGTTTATTCGGCTCCTATATCCCTGTTCAAACCTATGTGAGAATTCTCTCTTCACTGGTTAATTGAATAATGCTTGAAAAATATACAGTGCTAATTACACCTTTCAGCAATAGCTGCTTGTCTTGTACCATGAAATCTAGCAAATTTCCTTTAAACCCCTGATGCAAGCCTATGGATTTCTTAGCAACAGCCTGTGCACTAATCATGAAAGGTACTTAGGACTGTTGTTCAAAAGGCTGGGTGCTTAAGGTACAAAAATGTGTATGCAATAGCACTGAAATTTGCACACACAGTCATTGTAACTGTTCACCTTCACTGTATATCTGCACATGCAAATGGCTAGTTAGGAAACTACATGTATGAATGCAATAACTGTGCAAGCGAACAGTGTGTAATTGCACAATATGGCCTCGGGTGCCTGGCCGTATAGTGCAAACAGCACAGACAGCTCTTGCAATATGCCAGAGGAGGGAGCAGGACAGGAGCAAAGTGTTCCTTGCTCAGCACCAGCAGATTTATGTTTTGCAACATTTTCTCAATGGTCTGCAACAAAAACAAGCTGGCAGTTGACAGTGTGAAGGAAAGAACCAGGGATTTCGAACTCTGGAGGAAGTGTCTCTCTTCTAACTCCTATGCTGCATCCCCAGCTAAAGCTGCTGCAGCAGACAGGGAGGGTCCGTGCAGCAGGTCTACTTACCAAGGCAGGGTAGGATGGATAGCCTCGACACTTTGCCCACACAAGCTCCAGAGGTTCCAGGTCAGCATGGCTCTCAAAGGGCATCAGCAGGTTTCTGCCTACAGGGTCACAAAGAAACATGACTTAGCGTTAGGATGGAGAAGTAGGGGGACAGAAGAAACTGCTCTGTCTACTAACCTTTCTACTGAGGGATAGAAAGCAAGACAAAGAATATCTTAACTGCCCCTGTATAAAGCTATAGTATGCCTACATCTTGAATACTGTGTACAGATGTGGTCTCCTCACCTCAAAAAAGATATTTTGGCATGAGAAAAGGTTCAGAAAAGAGCAACTAAAATGATTAGGGGTTTGTGAGAAGAGGCTAAAGAGACTGGAGGTGCATCTAGATCACCTTCTTCTTTCGGCAGAGGGATGTAAATGAAGCACTTTGAAAGTGCAAATGAAGCCAGGATTTAAATATCCCGTGCTTCATTTGCATCATCATGAAATGGTGCTCTTTCAAAATAGTGCTTTTTCGAAAAGCCTGGGACTTTTCAGTTTAGAAAAGAGGAGACTGAGGGGGGTTATGATAGAGGTCTATAAAATCATGAGTGGTGTGGAGAGGGTGAATAAAGAAAAGTTATTTACTTGTTCCCATAATATAAGGAATATAGGACACCACATGAAATTAATGGATAGCAGGTTTAAAACTAATAAAAGAAAGCTCTTCTTCACACAGCACACAGTCAACCTGTGGAACTCCTTGCCAGAGGAGGCTGGGAAGGCTAGGACTATAACAGAGTTTAAAAAAGAGTTAGATAAATTCATGGAGGTTAGGTCCATAAAAGGCTATTAGCCAGAGGGTAAGGAATGGTGCCCCTGGCCTCTGTTTGTCAAAAGCTAGAGAAGGATGGCAGGGGACAATTTGCTTGATCATTGACTTCGGTCCACCCCCTGGGGCACCTGGCACTGGCCACTGTCGGCAAACAGGATACTGGGCTGGACGGACCTTTGGTCTGACCCAGTATGGCCGTTCTTATGTTCTTAACTCAGTCAGGGCAGCCTACGGTCTCCAAAGCAGACAGCTAATGCAGACAACACTGCTTGTATGGGTAAAATACACAAGCACAATTTCTGGCTTGCTTTCTTAAACCTACTTGCTCTATGGCAACTGCGCAGCTGAAATTTCACTGCGTTCAAAATAAACCGACCTCCTTGGGCCCATAAAAAGATACACATCATCACTAGTATGATACACATCATCACTAGTATGTGTGCATCTACGTAATTTTATAATCCACACCATTTTCCTGATGGAGGGCTACAGCAAAATGAGAAGTCACCTGTTTATGTCTTCTGCTGCCACACCATGTCTCTGGCGCCAGAGTCTATGCTGTTGTGCAACACCAGAAACTGAGCTGTTTCTTACTCTCTTGCAGAACTGGACAAGGGGGAAAGTAAGGAGCGGGGAATCCACACCTCTCTGTGCCTTGGGTAGGCTGCCGTCCTCCACAGTCCCCTTCCTCTTGGGATGGTGCAATGACAGCTTCCCTTCCTAAGCTAATGTATTTTAATTACTGTGCTAGACCAGGATGTCTCAACCTTTTTTTTTTATAAAGTATCCCTTTTCCAAAAAAAAATGTATAAGTACTCCCAGTACCTACTGTTTTCAGACACACACATTTTTTTTCTACCATTGCAACACATTTTTTTAAACAACTTAATTGTAGCCAGGCAGGTGAATGAAATTTTTGGGTGTAAAAAGTACAAAAATAATAAAGCGCTGTAAAACTTAAAACAAAAATTCCGTTTTCTTCAAATTCCAGTTGTGTTGACGTACCCCCTAGACTTCGCTCGAGTACTCCTAAGGGTACTCGTACCACTGGTTGAGAAACACTGGTCTAGAAAATCTGGCTTCAAGACTAAGGTCTGGGAAATTGGAGACTGGGATCTGTCCACCTGTGACTATAAGGTCACTTGTGTGGAGATTATTTCATGGACCACGACCACTCGGTGCTAGGGGCTGTACAAACACAGCCCAAAAACATGATCCCCCTGCCTGGAACTTCCTCAAGCATCGCTTACCTGACATGAGTGCCATGCCAAGCTTGCTCCCTGCTGATGCAAAATGCATAGGCCTTTGCCTCTGGGATGCATCACAGCCCTGCTTGGCCCCAGACTAACAACATTTTATAAATCATTACCTAGCAAACCTGTGCTCCAGCTCCTCCAAATTCTGAAACCCTCGGACTTGGCTCAGCAGGGTCCTATAGCTATGTTTGCATGGATAAGTCCTTATCTGTGTTGTTCTATGCAATGCAGGTTCTAGGGGAGCTCCTGCTTCCTGTTCTTGATAGGAACCAGCCAAAATGATTTGAGATACTTGAGTTTGGATACTCAGTGTCCAGAGCCTTCAAACAATGGTCGAGGTGCTCGAGAGGGACAGAAGTCTGAAGAGCTGGGGACTCATACTGGAGGCACAAGACACAGGAATGACAACCCTGCCTGGCTGCTTTCATTACAGGAATATTAACCCTATTTTACAACCGCAGAAACTGAGCACTGAGTGGTGAGGTGACTTGCCCTGGACTGCATAGAAACTCAGTGGCAGAGTTAGGAGGAGAAGCCAGGGAACCACTTGCCAGCTCTACCAACCAGAAACAGTCTCCTCCATTTACGATGTGGTTTATACTTCTTTGTGTTATCACAGTGCTGTGGTTGGGATTCTCCCCTCTTTCAGCCAATTGCACAGCCCAGTTGTACTGCATATCTCACAGTAATATTTATTCAGCTATTTTATCAGCTACACCACAAAACTTTCCAAAATATCACAAGCTGTAAACACTAGAACAAAAATCCCCTACAAACACCCATGGAAGATCTCAGAATCGATGGGTCCCATGGCAAAAGACCAGCCTTATTAATGCACCAAAAACACTTAATATAAAAACACTGATGAGATTTAGTTGTAGGGTATATGGCTGCAACTTCCCTAAAGTCAAATGAGTTACATCAGAGGTGAATTTGGCCCAGTAAACCCCAGAGCAAAATTATAATGGGCCAAATCCACCCCAGCGAAACCCAATTGATTATTCTGCTGTCATGTATCCGGCTGTTTAATCCCTGCAGGATTAATCAACCCTCACTCAGGTTGATGGAATAAGATTTGCTACCATTTTTATGAAAGCCAGAAGGGTGGCAAAAGGTGCACATGGGGCACAAAAGATGAATCTGCTAGCCCCTGGCCTTGGAAGTGTTTTAATTAGTGTGAGTTTCACAGGTTGAGCCGGCCTCTGCCTGAGCGGATAGTCACTATTCCACAGAATGCAGACTACAAACAGCACTGCAAGTCAGAATGAAGCAGAGAAACACGTTCATAGGATGAGCTAAGTGAGGGCGAGGTTGGAAATACAGGATGTATGTTTTCTTTGCTATGCTGAAGTGGGGTTAAAAACACACAGAGACGCTACCTGCATGAGGAGCGGGCCCTAAGTGGAAAGCTTATCTGAGCAGCAGTTTGCTGAATGAACAATGCCCTTGACAATAATAGTTTCCATTGAGATAGGAGACAGAGTACAGTGGCTCTAAAGACGGGGACAGATGTATAGCTGAGAGTTAAGATTCTGCTCTTAGCGGCCCCAATTTAATGCCACTAACTGGCCTCAGTACCTGTTATCAGAATCTGTTTCTGAGTGTGCTAGAAAACCAGAGAATTAACTTGGTCTGTATAGAGATAAGAACATAAGAACATAAGAATGACCATACTGAGTCAGACCAAAGGTCTATCTAGCCCAGTATCCTGTCTGCCGACAGTGGCTAGTGTCAGGTGCCCCAGAGGGGGTGGACCAAAGACAATGATCAAGCAATTTGTCTCCTGCCATCCTTCTCCAGCCTCTGACACACAGAGGCCAAGGGCACCATTCCTACCCCCTGGCTAATAGCCTTTTAAGGACCTAACCTCCATGAATTTATCTAGCTCTTTTTTAAACTCTGTTATAGTCCTAGATGATGCTCCTTTTGTTATTATTATTTATATGTTGGCAGAACCTCAGAGTCCCAATCACAAACCAGGACCCATCATGCCAGGCACTGTATAAACACAAAGAAAATACCTGCCCCAAATTGTTTCTTCTACAGAGATTATTCTCACCTGAGCTGCTGTAATCAGAGTCTCCATTCACACTGTCCAAGAAGGGGACCCGGGAAAGGGCTGGCTTCCCTCGACTACGTTTGGGAGGAGTCAAACCACTGTTATAAAGGAAGAAAAACAGAGTGTTATGGAAAGCAAGATTTCCCTGCAAAACACAGCAGAGTTATAGGATTCCACAGATGTTTGGAAAATGCTAGGAAATTATTGCTCTGATGCAATCTTGATATGAAAAGAACACTGAAGGTTAACTTTCATCAGGCCTCGCTACATGCTCCAGTAAAATTTACCAATACATCTGCTTTGGCGTCTTTGAGAGGCCTGTTGAACTGGAGGAAAAAAACAATCAAAGAAGTGTACACTAAGAATCAAACCTGCAACACTTAAATGCAACGAGTTTACCTGGTTTGTGTTCAGACACTGGAGGATAGAAGAGCAGCCAAAATATTTGAAACAGAGTCTAATGGATAAACAATAGGGCCCTAGTATCAGATTTTCAGGGTTTCTTCTTCTTTATTCTTCATTATTGAGAACATTTATGAGAACCATATAGCTACATCTTAAGAATTTAGCAACTTTTGATTTTTGTTCCCTAGCTGAAAATTTTCATTTGTAACATTATAGTGATGTTATAGTAACCATTTTTTTGAAAGAGTGAGACATAACCCTGCATAGAATAATTGTATGTTTTCCAGGATGCACCAGCTAATTTTCAACTCCTTGTTTTTGCGGGCAACACATCCCTCTCATATCATTTTTGTAATTATAATACGCATTTACATAGCACTTTTCATCTTCAGAGTGTGTTTCAAACATTAAATAATCTTTACAATTCTCTTGTGAGACAAATCAGCCAAGTATCATTTTCTTCATTTTATAGGTACAGAAATTGTCAAGAGGCAAAGTGACACAGATTCTGGGCTATTGCTCCTGTTCTTAGACCACTGGACCATTCTTATTTTTTAAGGAACTTCCAGTGGGCACAGAAATACCTACCTAATCAGTATTAGGACTAACTGTAAGTCCAATTCTTCCACTCTTGTTCACACTAAGTAGCATCTCTGTGAGTAGTTGCATTGGCTTTCATGTCCCATTGGCTTCATCAGGATGACATATAGAACAAGAGTCTACTCAACCTAATTAAGAGCGGCAAAACTGATTTAGATCGTATTGCTAGCAGGATGTCCCCCATAAGGGGTGAGAAGAAGATGTGCCACTCTGGGAGAGGACTTGGAAGCTCTGTGCCTCAGGAATGGGGGCATTATTTTGCTAAGTCTCTATTAAACTCTCTGAAATTATGGCCAGCCCTTCAAAGTAGGAATAAGACCCTCCGGAAAAGGGCACTTTTTCCGGAGGATCGGGGCCAGTCTAGACGCTCTTTTCCGGCTTTTTTAAAAGCCGGAAAAAAGCGGCGGACATTTTTATTTAAATGCCGCGGGGATATTTAAATCCCCCGCGGATTTCCCTACGACGACTAGTGAAATTTACATGCCCCTTCCGGAAAAGGGGCCAGTGTAGACGTAGCCAGTGTGTGTGCAGGGAAATATCTTCCAACAAAGACTGTGAGAGGATAGGGTACAAGCCAGCCCTATACGAGGTGGTGGCAGGATGTGATAAGTAGCGAGGTGAAAATGTAACTGTGTACATGGTTAACCGATGAGTCTGTGCTCATTGGTTAACGTTCAAGGTTACACGCAGACTCCCAGTATGCACGGGGAGCTGGCTTAAAAGCCCGGCGAGCTGCCTGCCCAGCCGCCCATGTTGTATCAGAGGCAGCAGTGCGGGAGGCAGGTGGGAGCTGGTACGCACAGGGAATCAGCTTACAAGCCAAGTCCCCATGCACACCAACTCCTGGAAAGCTGACTGCCACTCCGTGTGTAATGATATAACTGTGTATATAAATCTTCAGCAATTACACAGTTACTTAATTCAAATCAGTTTAACATCCCTAGCGGTGAGGTCGTACATGTTCTACTAACATGCTGTAAACTGTTTTTATACCCAGCATGCTGTCTCAGACCTTCTCAAATATTTGTCAAAGAAAGCCAAGATTAGTGAGTACTGTGGACGATCTTTCTGCAAAAATGGGCTTTAACACAATACTATGTATGAATTACAAGAGCATCTAAGAAATTCTAGCTTCTTACCTCCCCAAACATATGTGCATTTGCTTTTCAAAAAAATGTTTATTAAAAAAAGAAATGTGTAAATCCACACTAAGTTTGCTCCTGGGCTAAAATGTGCTATGTTAATTCCAGTCCAAAAGTAATTGCTGTTGACAAGTTGTATGCCTCTGAAAACAGGTTCATAATGGAAACACAAATCAAACCCTAGCTACAATAGCAAAGTTATAGACAGCTGTTGACAGCTAACGTTTTGGAACACTCTATGGAACTCCCACAGCAAAATTTTCATCCTAAAAATACTTCTATGACTCAAACCCTCAATGGAATAATTTGTTAAGAGAAAATGACAGTGATCAGTTTTAAATCGTAGCCCAGTTCTGGAAAGATATGCTTGTGGGGAGAATCTTATGCCCTCAGAGACCACATCACCTTACAGGATGAGGGCCTCACATGGCAAAATGAGTATTTTCTTTGGAAGGAAGGCAGGCCTAGATAGGGTTTCTCAACTGGTGGGTCACGATCCCAAAGGCATCACACAAGGCCATCAGGCACTGTGAGAGGCTGCGGATATAGAAACATGTTACGATTTAAAACAAAGCGAATCGTGCTTCCCAACTCCCACACGTCCTCCTTCAAGGGCTAACATTCTCAGACTGATCGCTATGAGCACCACTACCTGAAAACTTCTCACCTCAAACAAGGAAGTCACCAACCTGAAAAAGTGATTTGGGCTCTGGGTTGGGACTCTCAAAAGCTGGGTTCAGTTCTTGGCGCTGACACAGACCAGTGTGCAATGTGGGGCAAGACACTACCTAGCTTGTAAAATGGAGATACTACCTTCCTAGGTGTTGTGAGGGGAAAATCTATTAATGACTGTGAGGATAGGTGATGTAATAGACAGAATTTATGATCATACCCCCAAAACAGAAAGGTAATATCAATCGTATCACATACACCAGTGTTCCCTATAAGCTGTGCACTTGGATGGCCAACAGGAGAGATTCAGGCCCACATCCGGCAGCATGCGTTTCTACTGGTGATGCACATCCTTACACGCCTTGGTGCACATAACAAAATTTATTCCACACGTGGATGGAAAAAAAACTGAAAGAGAACACTGATATACACTTGTGTCTATGTCAACTGTTTTCAGCCAAAAAGGGGGACCATGTGGTCACTTTACATACGAGTCAGTCCTGCCTGAGCTGCCCAGAATGGAAAAGAGAATGTCATTTCCGCACTGCTGGAAAATGAAAGCAGCCGTGCTGGTAAGTGATGGGAGCTTATGTTCACCTTATGGGAACTGGGCTGACCAAGTAGGACCCGTGCTTCCCCAATTTTGGCTCTCTGGTAGCGTATATACATGTGTAAAAACAGCTAGTCTGTGTACATGCGTATCAGGTGACACAAGTCTACTATGCATCAGTACATCTGCAACATTGAATGTTGTGGTGGGATCAATGAACTGGCTTGAGAACTATAGCTGAGTGTAAAGGGTGGAGATGCAAGAGGCTTTTGGCTCTTATTCCCAACATTAATACTGAATACGGATGTTAAGAAACAATTTCAACAGGATTTTACATGGCGAAGTTGCCTTATAAAGAAGGGCAAGGAAACCTGGTGGGAACATAAGACTTGCCTATCCTGACACTTCGTTTGCAAAAAGCTGGGATGCAAATCTACCATGCACTAAGTGTGTGTGTGGACCCTACTGCTTCGCACTGACCACTTACTCATGCTCTTTGAACAGTTCCATAGCTAAAGAGGGTAGATCAAAGCGCCCTGCGGAACTTCTACTGCTCATCAGTGGGGTATGTGCAGATGGGGCACGGCAAGCTACTGTGGGGTAGACTCACACCCCAGCTTCGTGTTTGTGTGTAGACAGAATGCA